TGGTCACAGCACTTTAGACCTAGTCTCCATATTCTGACAAGCCAAACTGGATGATGAGTACAGTGTCAAAACAGTTTTAAGCACCCAACGAACTGTTTACATTCGGAATCATGCCATTTGGCCTATGTAATGCCAAACTAGATGATGAGAACAGGGTCAAAACAGTTTTTAGCACAAAATGGTTTGTTTGAGTTCTTAATCATCTTCAGAATGCTAATGGAGCTTACCCTGAAGGGGCTGGAATGGGAAAAACGAATGGTATATGTGGATGATGTTTTAATAGCTAATCAAATATTTGAGTCTACTGCTACATCCGTCCCTTGGTTCTGCAATGTATAAGCCCGGTAAGTGTGTATTAATGAGCAACTAAGAAGTATTTTATTGCTGGTAGTGTTTTACAAATAATACAACCGTGAGCAGTTCCTTCTTCATAGTGCACTATTGGCATTCAGAAGCTATGAGCATATGAGTTATGTATGGAATCACCCATTTCACTCCATCCTGTGACTGCTAAACACTGTAACTGGTATCTGTGTCCAACAGGAACCCACAGCATGGGAGCTTACATTAAAGCATGCTTTAATGGCAAGAATGTGTGCTCGTACTCATTGTGCCTTAGTGATCTTGGAATGATTGTCCCAGAATGTTAATGATATATTGCAAGCCCAAGGAAGCCTTAAATTTCTTGTCTCGTCACCAGCTAAGGCCAATCTCGAAACTGTGCAATCTTTACAGGATCAATCATGGTGCCATCTTCCCCAACTATGTAACCAAGTTTGTAAAACACTACCAGCAATATTTGTATAGTGGGACGCTCACTCTTAGGGTGGATCATGTGTACTAGAAATAGTTAATGAGCCTTAAAAATCCTAAGGGGATGATAGCTGATTGGATTAAAACATTGCAGAAATATGACATGGCCATATCAAATCATCTGAAAACACTAAAACAGAAATGCAGATGGATTATTTCATCGCACAGTGAGACCCTTTTCATTCATTCAATGTGCTGATCCAGGACATTGTGTGAGGTAAAAGCCATTTCAACGATCGCAACACTAAGTCATGCTGTCAGTGTTTCATTAGTGACTGGATAAAAATTTTTTCACCTCACAAGCTTTGGGAAGAGCAATTGAGGAACTCGGAACAAACATAGGTACTCCTTGCTATCCAGCAATGTAAAACATGAACAATGTAGGTTGATAAATGAAATATGGATGTGTGCAGACTATGGCACTTGTATGGACAGGTACGAATGCATAACAAAATGTTGTACCCTTTGTATTAGCTATCTAGACTTGGTTCTCAGTCAGTGTTGCAACTAGTGCTCACCAGGACTCTGAGGTGGCAAATTGACCAGACTTGGCATGATGCAAAAACTGAAGGTTACTATGGTATCACACCCAAGCTAGTACTAGCATTTTACAATGGTTTTACTGGTCACATTTGCATCATGATATTCAGATCTGGTGCCAGCACTATACTCTGTGTGCAGCTTAGAGTAAAAACTAGCACACAGGATAAACTCAAGCAAAGACTTGTTGCTTCTCCTTTCCAGAGGATAGCCTTCGATAGTGCTTGTACACCCCCAAGGACAGAACAAGATAACTGATATGTTATGTTTGTTACCAATTACTTCACTAAGTTGGTTGAGGCATACCTATTGGTCGGCACTCTAGCATAGTCCGTTACTGATGTGTTGGCAGAGTGGGTACAAAGGACTGTCAAAAAGCATATGCTTGCAAAATTTATTAATCTTGGACCAACCAACTGTGAAGAACCCTTGGTGTACATCACGATGGCATAACATGCAACAGAACAGAGGCTGACTGAAATTTTGCCAAATATGTTCTTGTTTCGGAGGAAAGTGATGGTCTCTGAAAAGGTAAATTATGGCTTAACACCTAGCAGAGAAGTGTCACACTTTTGTAGTGGCTGGCTCTGCACAGGACAATGCACGAGTTTACATTTGTATATATATATGTGTGTGTGTATGGGGTGTGTACATGTATATCCAGCCTTAGATCAAATCATTCATGAATGTTATATAACACAAAGTGAACCAAATAACTCATAAAATAACTAGTAGGTAGCATTTGAATGAGAATACAAGAATGTAATCTGAATGTTAACATTGAGTTATGAAGTTAACTATGTTTACTGACTTGGGATGTATTATTTGAAAATATAGGGGTCTTGAAGTTTCATTAATGCTAGCATGATACTCTTCCAATTTTGACATTGACGTGTTTGGCAGATATTGAATGTTATGGAAAGAGATAAGAGTAACAGCTAAACGCACGCCACATTGGCAGCTTGACCTGTTCTTTCACAACTTTGGTCATAAACATTTAAGTTGCTTGAGCTAAAATGTGATTAGGTGAAATTATATGTATAATGTATAAAGACATAATCACATACAATGACATGCTAACTTGATTTCAACAGTATTTTGTTTTATGTTTGAATATTGTAAATCATGCAGTGTAGAATATTTGAAAAATTATACATTTTCTGAATATTTTCTTAACATTTTTACAGTAAAAGACACAGCTATAATGCATGCTCTACGTGTAGTACCGGAGATTAGAAGTAACCCCTTTATGGTGTGACTTTGTAAATGCTCTTCTCTATGTTAAACTTGTATCTGAAGAAAGTCGAGATGTTAGTGTTATGAATTTTCATTGTCAACAAATATTGCGCTAGTGCTTGTGTGATAGTCAATCTATTTAGATTACTAGAGTGGCTACCTAACTCTGTATTTTGTCCACTATTTACTTCCTACTGGCTCCAGGATCTGTGTTCTATAACAACCAAACAGGAGTGGAGGAAATGTGACAGGGTTCCATGATAGCTATGGACCATCATCATGGCTATGACAATCTCAGAGAACACAGCTAGGGTATAGGTCAAGCACGAGAACCGAGGATGCATGTGTCCACTGAACTGACCACAGGTAGTAGGTATCATGTTGCAACGGCAGAATACACGTGAGTACGCGTAATCCTGTATAAACAGTTTGTTTTGTTTTTTATACTCTGCTCCTAAGAGAAATTTTATGGCATTGTATTTCTTTAGCCAAGCCATTACAACCTTATCAGACACTCTTGACTAAATTTTTCTCACCTATTGGAGTTTATTGGATCTTGAATTTTCAATCCCGATGTTTTGTAGTGAACATCAATTTCTTAATCTTTCTGGCTATTTTTGTTTTCAGCCATCCAGCTAGAAGCCATTATTATGAGTTTGTTTATTCAATGAATTTAGTGCAAAGTTCCTCTAGGGCTATCCATATTAGTCATCCTGAATTTGGAAGTGATAGACAAGCGGAAAGTCAATTATTCAACACCATATACCAGCAGTTGTTGGGCTACTCTTTACCTAGAAATAGTGAGATTGACCTTCACATTAAAATAGCCCCCATTGCTGTCAGGGAGAGTATGTTTGGTGATTGAATTAGATCGTACAAATCGTAGCTTGCATGTTGAAACCCTAATCACCAGGTCATTCCAAACTCATTATTTTCTTCAGTTGAACGTCTAAAGTCTTGATTCTCTGCACAAAAAATGGAAGAAGTCTGTGATAAGAGTTTTCTTTTTACTTCAGGAACGTGATAGAGTTTTCCTCCTTACCGAACAAACTAGGGTCTGGCCAACTTTCATCTCATTGGAGTTAAGAGATAAGAGTGTATTACTGACCGAAATCACGTAATTGAGCTCTGATTGAGGCAGTAAGTGGTTTGACATTAAAAACTTTCGAACCACCAAAATCATTACCTACCATCATCCAGTCTAGGAATAAGAATCTTGCCAAATCTTTGGCATCCAGTGAGCCTGATACCCAGCTATTAGAATCAACCACTGATCCAGTGTCTCTGGTTGTAATAGTCAGGAATAAATCCAAGTCAAAGCCAATAATGAAATCTAAATGTCAGAAGAAAAGCTTCAAGTACCCTACTAGAGGGTGTTTTGTATAGAAAAATAGAAGACATCCTATGTGTGTTCACATCCACCAGGACCATCACATCCCCTGGCCCAACAGGACCTCCCTCATTCTTTGATGTAGAGAAAATCAGTGAAGAAGAAGGGTCTGTTGACTACTTCTATAACTAATCCAGAAGTGACATTGACCATAGTTTTTGCCACCACAACCACAATGTTTGTGAGTTCTACAGCACCAAGGCATTTACTTCATTGTCAGATAACTCCATGGCTTCAGGATTAAGGTTAGAGAAGTGCAAACAGCTCACAAGCTCCCTGATCGAGATAAAAGAAAGTCTCACACTGAAACAACTCACCATTTTAAAGTGCTACTGCCAAACACAGACAATCAGGTGGATAAAGGCCTGAGCACTAATGCAGTTGGAGGAAAGAGTGCATCATCTCTAGAGGCTCATAGGGACTACCATGGTGTACCATAGATTTATGATTATGTTGGAGGATTTGCAATCTGGGCTGCTCTAGTTATTGGATATTGTATTGATTTATTTATTGATTAATTTATTTTGTGCTTGCTTGTTTGTTTGTTTGTAGTGAAGCAAAAAGCTACACAATGGGCTATCTGTGCTCCGCCCACCATGGGTATCGAAACCCGGTTTCTTGCGTTTTAAGTCCGCAGACATACCGCTGTGCCATTGGGGACTTATTTTTTTTATAATTAATTATTGTAGATATGTATGTTTTTATTTCCTTGTAAAGAGTTTCATTTCTGTGTATGTATATTTTTCTTTACGAAGGTCATTTTAATACGTCAATTTATTACGTTATGTTAAAAGGTATATTTTTTTGCTATTTTAACTAAATGTTTGTTTGCTAAAGTGAGTTTTTATTATGTGATGATAATGACATTATGATCTAAATAATTTGGATAGTAAGTACAAAACGAGTAACAATATTTATACAAGAGTTAGTGAATTAATGGAAAAGAAAATTTTGGAAACCAAAATGACAAAAAAAGAGATTTATCACAGTGGTAACCCACTAGAGGGCCGAATGTGTTTGATGCCGTCGTGGACAGAGACGACGTAACCTTATGTCTAACGTAAACATTAATATTAAGTCGATTTTCATTCTATATTTTGTAAAACTTCAAGATTCCAATTAATAAACAGCCATGTCATTGCGGGAGAAACAGACTGGTAATGTGATATACATATTTATAAATTTATGTTAGCTTTGTAAGGAAACTAAATTGAAAGCTTATTTTTACAAATGCGTAAGTTTTAAATTTTTGGATAACCGCATGCACCTTCCAAATTTCTCGGGAAAACCGAAAAGGGTGCTTTTTATGGGGCAAATTCAAGTTTAAATGCTATAGTAATTTATAAAAAGGGGTTTGCAAATGAACATCTTTGACTGAAAAAGTTTCAACACAGTAGCACCTAAGACATGTATAACAAATTCATAATGAATACTTTATTATTTATAATAACTTAGTAAGAAGGATCCCAAGATATATTTTTCGATTTGACCATTATAGAACAGGTGTAAAACGAACCTTACTGGAGCTACTGCAATTTTAAAATACTGTTTTCTTCTTTGATTATGTATATCATTAGTAATAAGTACTGAATGAATGTTATTAATGAACTTTTTGTTATTTTGATGTTATTAATTTGATATTTGCAATGTTGGAACTGGAAGTATTGTTGTAAATGTCAATAAATGAAATTTATGTAAGCCAATGTTATTAGCCTTGAATTAAATACACTAATGTAAAGAAAAGTATAAATCTGTGGATATGTGGGGTTAAAATACTTAACTTCCTACCTAGAAGTTATAAAAAGTTATTAAAACTTTTATATCCAGTCCTGGGATATGTGGAGTTAAAAAATATATTCCTACAGAGGTGCCATTTTTAAAAATATGGAACAGGTATGTGTTCTTCCTAAATACAGGGATTGAATTGCATGGGTCTATAGAGATTTTTTCTTGTGTGATAATTACTAATGTAAGGTATATCAAGAGAAGATATTGTACTGAAATATGAAATAATATTTTGAATAGGATTGAATTATTCAAAATGTTTGTTGACAGTGAAAATCAATACTCATTTAGTTATTAGTAGCAATACTAAGGACTTGTTCAGCATTAAGTTTAGTACATATCCATATCCATTCAAATTAATAATAATAAACCACACCTTAAGCACATACTTTTGAACCTGTTTTTCTCTGTTAGTAATAATATTTTAGATTTATTCAGCTTTAGGAGTTGGTTAGTTCAGTTATACAGGGTGACCCAAAATTACATTTCCTATTTTAAAATTTAATAATTAACTAAATTAGGAAATATAACCATGCAGTTTTCAACATCTTGTAGCCCAACTGAAACAGTTTTTATTGACATGTCAGTAGACTTGTACACGTGCACCATTAGTGGCTCTCAGCATGTCTAACCGATACTTGATTTTAGTCCATATTTGCCGTAAAATGCCCACAGTTACAGTGGTGATGGTATCTGTTATCCTGGTCTTTAGCTGTGTGATGTTTGTTATAGGTGTGAGATACACAATATCCTTAACATACCCCCATACTTCTTTCCTGTACTGGTGTAATTACACTGCACCACAGCCACTGACTTGGTCTCTGCAAGCCAAATGATGCATTGAACCTTTTCTTGCACAGTTGCCATTTTACAGGGTAATGCTACTCATTGGAGTGAAAAAAATACATGACAATGACAAATTGAGTTGGGCTACAAGATGTTGAAAACTGATTGGTTGTATTTCCCTAGTTATTTAATTATTAAATTTTAAAATAGGAAAGATAATTTTTGACCACCTTGTACTACACATAGAAATACTGGAATTATGTTATATAAGGAATCTGAGTACTTTGTACATATATTTTAGCAAGAGCTGTGTTGAACTTGTATAGGTTGTTTGGGTAGTTTTTCTTGTGTGATGATAGATATTTGTACTGAGTTGAAATGCCTGTATTTATTTTGCTTGTTAGAAGTTATATTCTTTCAAGTTAAATCATTTAAAGTCACACAAGTTAACTACTTTAGATATAGTCTTTCAGTTAGACAGTGATCTACCACTTTGAAGTTTATTGATATACTTAAAAATTGCTTATTAACAGTTTTATTAACTCTTTGTGAAAGTGTCTAGCACACCTTTTAATGTTTCAGCAAATAACTTGTATAATAAAACTTAATTACAAATGAGACATTTGAATGGAATACAATATGAAACAATATGAAAAGTAACTAATTTGTAATTGGATGTAACATGTCAGTACAATAAAGAAGGGGAAAATAAACAATCTTTGTTAAAATGTGTAATAAATATTAAAATTGTATTATTATATAATACCATGAGAAGGCATGTCATATATTCTTTTTTAAAGTTGGCAGGATTGTTTGATGATATATTTCAAATAATTTCTTAGACCATAAGGCAGGTGTATCATGGATATTACAAAGTACTTGTGGACTACAGACCAAAGCAAGATCTGTGTGTGTTTCATTATGTTTAAAACTACTCATCTTATGTCATCTCTAAAGTGGTAATTTTATATATTTAACTAACTATCATGAACGACAATAGTAGTTCATAATAGGGATTGCAAGGAATTGCACAAAACTGTGTTAGAACGTTTGGGCAAAAAACACCTTAAACAGTAAAAATTCAGTTCAAACAACACGTTAAAACCTTTAATATTGACTGATAAATCTGTACATGTATAAAAATGCACAAAAAATAAGTACACATGTTTAACTTACAAGGAAAAGAAAATCTGCTCAAAACAGCCCATTTGTAATTATTCTTTTGCCAGACTACAACAAAAACATCTCTGTATATTGCACCCAAACTATATGTAGAATACTAATAAGGTACTGTGAAGGTCATAGAGGTATTGAAAAGTCAAATTGTTTTTTCTGTATTTTACAGAAACTACAAAACATCACAATTCTAGTGTAAACAATGTTATCATTACCTGTTGAAGTTAGTTTTCTTACAAATATCCGGTGTTCCTTTAAAAAGCTTAAGTAAAGGATGAAACAGGAACTACCAACCAATAATAGATGAATGTTAAATGTAGATACTCAATGCTTTGTACACTATGCAATTGGTGTGTTTAGGGAGCCAATCCCTATATTATGCATGAAAGGAAGGAGTAAAAAAAAATCAGTACACATAAAATTAAGTTTTATTACACACATTTGTAGAATAAAAGACACAAAGGTTTACTTAAAGTGATGTTTTAGACTTATATGTTTTATTTGAAAAGGCTGCTTTTCTACTGGTAAAATTTGTATGCACTAAGAGGAAGTTGTGTCTTAGTAATTCTGGGTAACACCATGGAGCCAAAATAGGGGTTTGTGGTTTAAGTAAATAATGTCTACAGTATCTTCAGCCTTGTTTCCTTACTTTTTTATGGTCCCTATTTGCAGGTTTTTAAATTCTCAATTTTTTATTTATCTTGTTTTATTAGTGCTTGGAATTTTCAGTGATAGTTTATTATGGTATAGAAGTAATTAGATTTATTATTAGATGGACCATTGTGAAGAAAAGATAGTTCAATTTGAGACAGCTAAGAATCACTCCTTTTTAAGAGAGATACACTTTTTTGTATATGCTTTGATAATTTATTTATATTTTTTTCAATAACATGGGCTTTTTCAAGATTTATAGGACCAACATTCGTGGGTGACTATAATTGTTTATTTTGTGTAATATGACTTTTAAGGCTCAGTTTTAAACAACATTATAAATCACTATTAATATTTGTAAATAACATGAATGATAATTAATCATTTCAAGAACAATGGACAGTTTGGAAGGAAACTTGTCTAAAAGATTGTCTAGATTATGTAAGTCATATGTTCATGTATAAAAATTATGAAAAACATTTTTCTTGTATTTAAAAATTATAGACTAGAATTATTATGAATAATGATTTTCCTATTGTAAGGGGCTTTGAAGCGAATGCTGAATTTCAATGTTACTCCTACTAAAGCAGCAGTGATGGAACCTACATGGAAGGTATGTTAGACTAAAGATTGTGTTTAAATATAAACAGTTTGTTCCTTATTATTATATTTCATTTCTCTGTAGTTTTTTCTTGTAACTGATACATATATAGTTGTAAGTTTCTATCTAGTCTTACCTTTTGTGTCACTATTTGCTTTGTCCATATTGAAAATTGTACCTGGATTTTGAATAGACACAGCCAAAAGTTGGCATACTTTTGAACTGTGTGCTTTAGGGATGTGTTATTTTGTGTTATTTAATGTTATCCCACCTCTGCTAGCCAACTGATCTAGCTAAGTCATGTCATGCTCCTTATAAACTTATGGACCCAATTAGATATCAGGTAAGCACTTGATCACCTACTCAGTTAACTTATGATATGGTATAGACACGGTTCAGTTTTTTGTTGTTGAAAAATCTGTACCATTTGTTTTATTATTGCAACTTTCCAGAAAGATATTTTATCAACACAGCTAGTCATGTAACATGTTCATACTATTTTACAGTTTTCATCTGTAAGCTGAGCTTGAATCAGAGCAGATAATTTACGTATTTTGCCATGACTTGGTTATATGTTTGATTATGTTTTTTAATGCCATAAGTACATACCATAGAGCTCTCCAAAGCATAATAGAACAAATTTGTTAGTATTTATACCATATTATTTCACTTATGCCTGTTAGCATTGTCTATGATGTGCTTTTGTAATATAGTAATTTATTGTGTTGTATGGTATCTTTCTGTGGTGGGGGTATATTCCTGCTGACTTCTTATTCTCATTGTTAACCCTGAAGCATTATAATTATCAGTAACCTGATCACATGATCTGATCTGATTTGTCCATGTATGAGCCTTTTATCTCCATCAAACCAATTTCTGTTTTTAGTAACAAATTAAGGTGTTTCAGTTGGTTTATCAAATGTGAAGGCACAGAGAAATTATAGATATTTCAACCAGGTTTCTTCTACTTCAGATAGAATTCATGGAGTAGAGGAGGGAAATTATAAAGCTTGGGATAAGTGTGTGAGGGATATTCTGAGGGAAATTTATTTCATGAAACTTTTGTAATGTTGATATAATATTCATTGCAACATTTTGAAATTAAAGGTATTTATGATAACCTTAATGCATTACTAACTTTTAAAAAGTTTATGACTTGACCATAGACTAATTCTTGTTTACTTTAAAATAAAATTAAAATACATTTCAGATAAGAATTTTTCAAAATCATTTGGTTTTGGTAAACAGATTAAGAATTAAGAATTTCAAAATTTTTTTTGTGGCTACTAAGTTTTAGATTTGTACTTGGGTTAGGTAAGTTTACAGAAATTAGGCAGCTATCTTTAACTTATATAAAATATATTGTTTGTGTGTTAGTAACACAGTGTTCTCAAAGCACAGGAACTTTTTTTTTTTGAGGAAGAGTTGCTTCATCTCTTATGACCCACAGTTGTGGGATCTGCTTCTAGCCATCAGACCCTCAATCTTTTGAGACAATATCAAACACTTTACTCAATTTTTGGTGGGAGTGCTGCATTATGTATATATTTCATTCCCTGATTATTTCTGATTCACAATATGAAACTGTTTACTTATTTTTGTTATCATTATTTAGTTGCATTATGAAGTATTTAGTCTGTTTAAGTTTATTGTATACACATGGGTTTTCTTTTTAATCAACAATGCAAGTACCATAGCTAACTTTATTTACTAATTAAACACAAATGGATAATTTGAAATATCAGATTAAACCCAAAGCCACTGAAAGTTGTTCTTGTGCATGCTCATATGTGTGTTTAATTAATATGTTTGTTATTTGAGACCACAATGACAAAGTATGAAATGCTGTGGTATAAAATTTGAACTTACGTTATAGCTTCAAAAAGTGTAATTAAAGAAAACAATTTTTCAACATTATATAATTTGTTAGACAATATTAGATATTAATATTGACTAGAAAATTCAGTGTCTAAATAATAAATTAAGACTTAAAAAAACTGTTTCAAAAGAAAATTGCTAACAAAATATTTGTAACCTTGATCCTTGGGCAGGGGAAGAGTTAAAATGAGTTTGTTGGCAAATTTATTTCAATGTTAGTTCTAAAACTGACATTTACAGTAGCTACTTTTGGAAATGTTTTGAGTCAGAGTTACTGAAATATTGGATTTCCAAAACATACTTACCTCCTTTCACACTACAGCTATTACTTGACTGCTAGGGTTTCTTCCTTTGCCCATCTAAGCATTGGTCTGATTGATCGTGACACTCTCGACCTACGTCAATGCGCCCTCTATCCTGGTACTGTATATAAGCATTTCATTCAGATAATGTTATCACTTTTTCTCAACAAAGCATCACTAATGGGTTCCACAGTACTATGGTCATTCAAGATACTTTGAGCATTCTCTGTGTTATGTTGTTGGTTTTTGTAAAATAGAAATTTCCGATTGGCAAACCGAGTTATGGTATGAATTCCCTGATTATTATTTCCAACAGAGGCAAATCAGATCTTCTCCATCCCAATCACACCTTTGATATCTAGCATCACACAATAATGGGTGTGTGTTTGAGACTGTCAGTGGTATTATTTGTGGTGAGATGGAGACATATATTCAGGAGAGAATTTAGATTTGCTTTTTCCTGTGTCTTCTTTTAGTCTGTTGGCTTCTCAGTCCCCCTGTGGGACAGTGGCAAGTTTATGGACTTACGATGCTGGAAACCAGGGTTTGATTCCTTATAATGGACACAGTAGATAACCCAATGTTGCTTTGCTCTAACAAAACAAATTTGCCTGACTAAATGCTGTTCCAATCAATGGTAAAAAACACAGTCTTTAAGTGAGATAAAAAAGGAGGCCACTTTGGGATAAGCTACCTATGACTTGTTTTCTTCAGTTGGTTCCTTGAGAGTATGAGTTTTGGGTCTGCACCTTACTTGATGGCTGAAAGGTCTGGGAGCGAATATTTAGTTTTCTCTCCATCCATGGACATTGTGGTTCATGCAGAGAGGTTTACTTCTCTGTTACGTGAAGGGACAGTTGTGCCTTATCTGTCATGATTGACAGAACTATGTGATTTATCCTAATACCATCAGGTGGAAGCATATTCGGACTCAAAAAGTACTTCTGCTCCTCAAAATTAGGGGTTCTAAGGTGGAGTTTGTAGTTAACCTAAATAGAACAATGTCCCCTGGTGGGACAGCGGTAAGTCTAAAGACTTACAACTCTAAAATTGAATGTTTTGTTTTCCTAAAACTAAACTTTGTTGTTAGACTCTCAGGATCACCAACTTCATTGATGGTGAGCTGGAACCATTGTTAGCATGTACATTGGTTTGATTGTCAGCTTCTACATTCATCCCTGTTGTTGTTGGCATCTCATCTTTCATCGGCTCCTACAGGGGGACATAGTTCCACCCCTATTTAAGGTTCCAACCCCTTGACATCAGCCCCTCAGTACATTGGTACCCAAAATAGATTCTGTCCATATCCAAGGGTTCCACTGCTCAGTCAGAATTCTGCCAGCAAGGTTGGTGATTATTGTATGCCTTTGGGTCTATGGGGACTCGGTTCTGAGACTTTCTGGACATGTGGTAACCTTCATCATGGATCCATGGGCACTATAGGTCCTTGAGTCAGGATTACTCATTTAGTTCACATCTTCACCACCATTATCCACCCAACCTGTAGGGTTTCCATCTCTCTCAGATCCTTGGGATTTGGAACATAGTTCTAAGGCTATCAGAGTTTTGTTGTTCTGGGGGTAGTGAGAGAGTTGTGCTAGTTCTTTGAGGGTTTTATTCCCACTGATTGTTGGGCCTAAGACAACATGAGATTAGTGTCTAATCAATGTCTAGATTCTCCAAGGTTCACAAGTTACTCATTCCTCAATCTGAGTTGGCATTTTTTTACTGGTTTTATGGATGTCCAAGTTCATTGGAGTCGGTTCCTATCTGCATGTTGCCATAGTGGTATAGCATCCCACCACTATTGGTGTTTTTTGTGCACAAAGGTCAGGTACTGAAGTTCAGGGTTTTTACCTTTGTATTAGCATCACATGGGTTCTGCCAATCATACAAGTTTTTTCTTGTCGCCTCCATACCCTAGCACTGTGTGTACACCGTTCCATAGATTAGTGGTAACTGCTGACATCATTTTGCCAATTGTCAGAAACAACCAAGGCAGGCTTCATTCTCAGAGCTGAGACATATATACTAACTTCAATTCAATATGTCATCAGTATAGGTTGTTTTGTTTCCTTACAACTCTCAGTCGGGCTCAGCTGACTCCCATCAGGTTCCATGCTATGGAACAGGAAGCCTGACTCTTACTCACCTCTCCTTCTCCCATGCCAGGGATGGTTCTTTCTCTTTTAGGAATGTGGGCATCACTCGAATCCCTCTTGCCTTTGGGATGTAAGCACAAAAGATCCTTTTAATGGTCTTTATGTGACCAAGGGATCATAAACATCGATTCACTGGATTCCCCAGTTTCCTTAGTCAGGATCATTCTTTGATCTCAAGGGATTGTCAAGTCAGAACACTACTAAGATATGGGTTGAGATTCACTCGTAAGTATATATATATATTGCGGTCCAATTGCCCTAGCCACCAACATGGGATATAAGGACCATGGCCCTATCATTCCAACCCTGAACAGTGGAACCTGGCCAATAGTGATTATAGATTAGGTAAAATTCCACCTATAGTACATGAATTAAGTTGCAGCTGAAGATCATACCTATTCCCCCACTAGGGTGCCAATCTTTTATTGACACACCAGTGATCTATGCAGATGCTTTCTGTATGGATAATGCCCCACCTTCTTAATGTGTGATTCTAGCTGTAGTGTGAGAGGAGGTAAGTATGTTTTGGAAGTTAACATCTTCTTCAATCAAAAATGTCTTTCCAATAATACTTACCTCTGCTTACACTCTCCTGTCCTTCCTCCCCACTAAAAGCTGGTGTTAGAGACTGCAGATTAAGTCGGTCTCAAAAAAGTGGTACCATTATCTGAATGAGGTGCTTATATATAGTACCAGGATAGAGGGTGCATTGACCTAGGTGGAGTGTGTCACAAGACAAATTTACCAAGGGACAATTAAGTAGGGTATAAAAGACTGGAGCAAGTGAGAAAAAAATCAGACCAATGCTTAGATGGCCAAAATAAGAAACTCTGGCATTCGACTAACAGCTGTAGTGTAGAGGAGGTAAGTATTATTGGAAATACATTTTTGATTTAAGAAAATGTTAACTTATAAACATTGTCAAAGGTCCATATGAATAAATAAAAATTTTGTTATCTACTTGGCTTTCAGCCAGATTCTTTTTGTATTTTTAGATAACTTACAGATTTGTAGAGTATGAGGCTTTAATATTTTTTAAACTAAATGTTTAAAATTTTCTAATTTGAACACAGCAAAATTCTGAAGTCTCATTACTTCTAGGTATTTAAACAGACAACCTGTTTCTTTCAACAAAGCTTATTTTTTTTATATTGATAATTTCTCAGCATGTAACAAATCAGACAACCATGTTACTACCAGGGTAATATAACAAATTACAAATTGTTAAGCACAATACAAGTTTAACAAACTCATGAATTAATAAAATTGTAATTTGTTTTATGCTACTCTTCTAATAAGAAGATTATTTGACGCATTACAAGAACTACATGGAACCTTCATTAACCATTCATTGATTCATCACTCAAAGCATCTGTTTGTTAGCCTGCTATTATAATATGGAATATGTATGCTTAATATGCCACTCTTCCCTCAGTGGTTTTCCTGTTAGAGAATAGTGTAGGAACAGGTGATTGTTAACCTGTATACAACCTTTTAAGAAGAGGTTTGAGAATTTTATTTTTTATCTTAAGCAGAATGCGAGAGAGAATTTTTTGTGCAAACTGCAAGATATTATGTAACGTAGGCCTATAGTAGTTCTTTAATTAAGTAAGCTTATGAAATCTGTGCTTTTACTTTTACTTTGTTACTTGAGTGAGGTCAAAGTGTATTCGCAACTGAAAAAGGTGAGCTCTTTCCTGTATTTTGAGAATTAAGGTGTGTTGTGAATAATTCGTCAGTCCATTGTGTCTGAAGTAATCTTCAGTTGAAGCTGTCTCTTGAGATCTGAGCTAAGTGAACTTTGTCATGCAGAAATGTGGATTAAGTTTTCACACAGTAATGTAATACTTGTAACAGTGTCTTTTATAAAAGTTTAGTGTATCAAAAAAAAGGTCTGTCAAAAATTACACCTGAGTTACATGTAGTCTAAGGCATACAGAACTCTTAGTGGAAATGAAATAAAGAATTATTAGTTATTATAGAGTAATTTGTTAATCAGTATTAGCTAACTGAAACATTTATATTAATTTATCTAAGTATAAATTGCTTGATTGTAAATAAACTAGAACCAGAGAGGTTGCTTTGAAATATAAATATATATAAGTGTACAACATATAGCTGATTGTGAGTTTGCAGTGTATTTACAAGTGTAATAGTATAACCTACATTCCCATGAAAAAGACTGCTTGCCACTTAATCATAAAAGATATACCACTTTTAGCCACTATATATAAAAACAGCTGATAAACAAATGAATGATAAAAAATGATGCAAGACCTATAATGAAGTTTTTCATGAAAACCAGAAACACAAAAATGCAAAAAGAGATGCTGTTGACTGTTTCTGTTTCTACCACTGTATATGTTTAAAGTATCATGGTGTGAAAATAAACTCATTTCCCAGTCCTATTCATTAAATAGCACAAACAGGTAACATTTAGCAGTTCTTATTTATAAATAGAATATATTACCACAGAAGCTGAGAATCCCCTTATACCCACTCAACTCTAAGCAATGGATCTTCACTAAATTGCATGTCTACAATGTAGTTACAAATATTCTGTCTGAGTACAAAAAATGTAAAACTAACTCAGGTACAATGCCTGTAACACTTTGCAACAAAACATAACTACTGAAAACTGCAAAATCAAACACCTGTAAGTAGCAAATACCTTATTACACCTTCACATAAAATAAATATGAAGGATTTAACTGTGACCCAAATTACTACCACATTCATTATTGACACCTTTAAAACACATGAAACTGTGTGCATTTATCTAATGAAACAGTCACTGCTCATAGTTCATTATGAATAAAAATCTAGGATAACAATGTCATAAATATACAAATTACAAAAACAGAGACTGTGCTGCAAATTTTGAATTGTTAGTTTTGACGTATATTGTTACTCAGAAGGAAATAACTGTTCTAAATTTTTTATTTCCTACCAAATGTATAATAATCCATTCAACAGATTTACATTTATGAGAATAAGAATATGATATATCTAATACTATGCACAAATTTAGTAGCAAAATTTACAGTTACTTTTCATATAAAAAAGATTCTGTGAGTGGAGGCTGTTTCATTAGATAATTCTGTAAAAGAACAAACTATTAGCAGTGACTATGTTTCATTAGTTAAATCCATAAGAAACTATGAGCAGTGGCTGTTGAAATAATATATTTCTTAAAATGTTTTTGTTTTCTTTTTTCAGGTTCTAATATATGACAGATGTGGTCAAGACATTATTTCACCTCTCTTATCTGTAAAAGAACTGCGTGAGATGGGAGTGACTCTACATCTGTAAGTAGTTTAGAATTTGGAACATAACCATAAGTTTCATGTACAAAATGCCCTCTTAACATTAAAGTTTTGTTAATATGGTTCAGTACATCATGCTGCAGTGTTATTATGCTACTGTCATATATGTCAGTATTTGATTGTCACCTAAAAAAAATCATAAAACAGACACAGAGTATGACTTTTAACCTTACATTTAGAGGCTTGGTCAGTTTGCCTGATCTTGTAAGTATGAAATTATACATACTATTACTTTGAATTTACCAAGTGTATCCCCACAAAATTTGTCAAGCTTTTAGTAAACATTACAAGTCTGTTGTATACAAACATTTTTAATAAAATATTTTTTACTAAGAATTTTTCTGCGAATTCACAAAGCCTTTACTGATCCAATGTGAGTGAAAGATGATTTTCATGCTAAGAATGAAAATACTTCTTTTCATCTTATTGATGTACTATTATATTTGCACAGAACTTCCTAAATGAATATCAGAACTTTTTTATGGGGGTGGGGTAAAACTTTACACTTAATTTCTCTACCTTAACATTAACTGTAGCAAAAACTTCAATGCACAGTGAGATGAATAATTAAAAAATATAAAATAAAATCAAAACTACTCTTTTTTTTCTTGAATGACTGCAGATTGTAAGTGACAATTCCAATTATTTATCCTAACAACCTCTTCTTCTAGCCTTTTCACATCTGCTTTCTTTTACTTTTATCACTTTATAAAATACCTTAGACCCTCTCACAGTACATTAAAAAGAAATATATCACAGCAGAATAGTTTAGTGTAAACAAGCAATGAAGTTACAATCATGTGGTTTGCCTGAGTGATCACAATAAATGTTTCATTTAATTTTTTTATGTAAGTTCTGTTATTTAACTGTATACGTTTCTAATTTCTATATTTTAGTTATTTTTCTTAAGAAATATAACTATAAATAAAGAATATACATAGAACAAGAAACTTAGCACTCAATTTAGCCTTGAGGCCATTTGTGCTCAGATGCTGTGCTTTCATAACCTTATATTTTCTCATTATCTTGATTGTCCAAAAAATAATTTGTGTAGCTTTCATATGTGCATCAGAATAGAATATTATAAAATAATATATAATTCATCTAGTTTTGTAACTAAACTATAAATAGATTACAAAATTCCATTACTACTTAGTAACATGTCACACTTTTTTTGCAAACTGCTAAATTTCACAATCAAAAGTAAACACATGAATGTAAGAGGGTGGTGCATTGAATTTTTTTTTCTCTTTGTTATAAACATTGCCATTAAATACAAGATGGAAGGATTCTCTTTGGTGGGTTTTACAAATGTACTGATACCTCAGAATATTGAGAACAAGGAAAATTCAAATTTTATATGCTGTCCTAGTGCTATCGACAGATTATATTCTAATTGATTGGACACTGAAAGCCATAAAAGAGACAAAAGAAAATATTTATGTGAGAGACTTCAGAATACAAAATGTGTCACTTTCCACAGAAAAGTGAAGATTGAGAATTTATTTAAATATTTCCTTTTGAATTTGAGAACTTCAATCGTAGATAATATAAACATTTAAATTATAACCTTCATTTTTTATGCCAAGTTTATTGACATACATTGATAATAAGGTTGGTTAATTACATTTCTTATCTAACTGTAAGAAAGGTGGTGACATGCACTTTGATCCATTCATATGCATATTAAATACAAAAAGATATCCTTTATCCCCCTTCTATGACCACCTAGAAATATGTTCTCTTCACATGTAAGTGGTTATACAATGAATGTCCAGCAAGCAACTCAATAGACTAATGGCTGATATACATGTATATATATATCTTTTCTATCTTTTTTTGATAAGTATTTCAATAAATAAACAAATTGACCAAGAAATTATCATTATATTTTACCTGGTGTTCACCAAGTGAGTAATAACATTGTAACAATCCATCTTCATTACTACATACATTGAGACATAATGTCTGATAAAATAAAAATGTCACTATAGGAAGGAAAACTGGGGAGGGGAGTGAGTCTGTTACATACTAAATAATCTTGGGACATGAAATTGCAGTGTAAAATATAACCTAAACCAGCTTATGCAAGAGCGTTCAAGTTCTTGCAACATGTACTTTTGTTTATATATTTAAGATTTACCTTTATGTGATGTTTGTATCAGTATAAGGTTTTTTTTTTTAAATATCTTCTAAGTGGCTTAAGTATATTTGAAAGTAGAATACAGTGTACTTGCTGGTTGTCTGAACTCCTGATTGGTATTTTTCCTGAAGGAGTTAATTAACTTTGGAATAATCATGTCCCTTCCAGATGTATACATGTATTTTTAAGTATATTTTCTTAAAAACTATAGTTAATTGTATAAGACTTTGCAATACAATACGTTAACTTTTTGTGAATGTATGGGTGTTTTAGGGTTTTGCAAGTTATATTTCTTTAAGTTTTTGTTTTAATTAAGATTTTGAATAACAATAATATTTATTGTCCTTTTTTTATAATCTGCTCTTTCTATGATCTATAAAAAATTTTACCAGCAGGAAATGCTGAAATTAATATTTTCTATTTGATGTTTTTTTAAGTGACGGGTCACTTATTGTTCTAAATGTTCTTTATCTTCTAGAATGATGTAAGAACAGGTACCACTGGGTTGAATTATTTCTCCTTTATGACTATTTAGTTTATAAAAATATCCTGAAAGGCTGTAAAGCTAAAATCTTAGAAAGGATCTTTCCTAAAATTGCCCATGTATGTTTTTTCGTGAATGGTTTAATTAAATGTGCAAGAAAATAATGATGTTAAGCTGAACTGTTTTTAAAAAAAAGGGGGCATACCATGAAGTTACTATTGTAACTACATTAACTGTTGAACTGGGCTAATGCCATATGTATTGTGCAGTTCAGAAAGAACTTCTGCTGGCCTTTTGGCTTCATGGTTTTCTAGTTTTCACGTAACAGTTAAAGGTAAATAGAATTTATAATATTTCAACAATGACAAGGCAAAACCACTGTGAAAGCATAATGTCAGTCACCCACTTTCAGTTACTTTTTGTGCAGATCAGGCATTTGATGGTCCATCATATGGTCTAAAATGTGAATGAATGGTAGCTTAGCTTATGTGCATAAATCATCACTTTGTAGAGGTGGCATGCTTTACATTTGTACATATCACTTTCTTGTGGAATATAGTACCACAATAGCATTGGCAGTCTGGCACTAATGTTGTACTCTTAAAATTGTTATGTTGAGAAGTATTTAGGTACTGTTGATCACTCTTTTGAAAGAGCTGTTTCTAGAACATATTTAGTGTTAGAGTTGCTTGACAAGATGTGCCATATCTTCCAAAAGCATCCAACAAGTACTTAATGAGATTAAAATCTGGTGAGCATTCAGTATCCACTCTCTCTGATTAAGCATTGTTTTTTCAAGGAACATGACAATCATCTAAGCATTGTGAGATCAGGCACTGTTATCTATTATGCTGACATCAAGACAAATTGCACTAGTGTATGACAACACAAAGAGCCATAGGATGCTGTCTTTATAATGAGTGGCTTTGAACGTATATTTTCACAAGATGTAGAGGTTTTAGCCTATCATTACTTATTCTTGCCCACACTAAACTTAAACCATTACCACCTGTATCAAAATGTGATTGGATCTGGTTCAGTATTTTTTCCAAATAAGAATACACCTGTTGTTTGGCAGCATGGTGAAGCTGTATTCGTCTGTATTTGTAAACTACATATATTCATATGTCCTAGACTTTAGAATTATAATAGTATTATCAAAACAATTAACACTTAGTTAGTTTAATTTTTTATGACCATTTCATTAATTACAAACATCTTCATTGCAACATTTCAACGTACATTTTCACATGGAAGTTTATAAGCCAAAACTGAAATTCTTAAAATTTGTCTGTTTTCTTCATTTATAATTATATGATTTTATGAGAAATTTGTCAATTATCTTTTGTTTTGCAATGTATTTTTAAATTTCAGATTTTACCACAAGTTGTGGATAAACAATATCACTATCACACCTCTCTTGTGTTTTGCATATGAATGTCTTTAATATTAAAGTTTTTGTTCTCTATTAAACAACATATCCAAGATAAATATAGGGTTGAGTACATTTATTAAACAATTTTAAATATGTAAATTAGCAAGTCTCAGTACAACCACAGTTGATATGAAGTTACAGTGGAATGGAATGTATCAGAATTACATTTTGACAGTTTTTGGCATTTCTTAGGTAGTTTGATGCTACTGAAACTATAGCTTTTGGAAAGGAAATTTAACAGCCATTTCCAATGCAAAATATTCATATTCTCAGATCACAGAATTTACAAGATAGGGATGTCTTTTATTTGCAATGCTATTAGGAAAACAAAGAAATATGGATCAGTTTGAGCACCAGAACCATCCAGAAAGAGATCTGTAAGAAGTCATACCTCAGTCATGATAAGCATAGTGCAGGGTCTTATAACAGGTGAACACAAAAGTTAATTGCAAAAGCTGTTCACAAGTTTCTTGCAACAGTACACAACATAATCAAGAAGGATCCCCTTCTGGAAATGAAGTCAACAGGGTATGGGTTTATCAAGATGATGCTTGTCATACCTTCTGTTCAACCATTGCATACCTCAAAGAACTGGAAAATGAAACAAGTGTTCATGCTATACCATACTAAAAACATACCAGTCAAATTGCCAGATGCAGTTCCTATGTGTGATCTCATTGTTGAAACAGGCACTGTGGAACTATCATCCTTGTTTACTACATGAATTATGAAAAGCAAGCAGGGAGATATGATTTGCTTTGGACATTACATCATAATGACTGAGCCTTTTGCAGTGGAAGCTATGCTACAGGACTGTTGTCAAGATATACAGTCATCTGTTGTTGCATGATTGTAAGTGACAACATGGACCATAATAACATGGTGAGGCTCTAAAATTGTTTTATGTAGCGTACTTAACCTTTTGTAGTATCAGTGTTGGCTTTCTTGGTAGTAGTGAAGAGTCTTATGATTTTGAGTGGTTAGTGCAAAAATCTGAAAAAAACATTATCATTTTGTTGGTTTTATGTTGATGAGAATATTTATATTTGTTGAACTTTTATTATGATAGTTTATCTTTATTTCTATAGACTTCTTCACAGTGATAGAGATCAAATACCAGATGTACCAGCTATTTATTTTGTCCTTCCAACCTTAGAAAATGTTACAAGGATTTCTCAGGTAGACGTGCATTTACTTTGAAAGTTATATATTTATCCCTTTTTCTCCCTGTTCACTAAGTAAAAGTAACCTACATTTCCAATGTTAAAAAAAAATTAAGTGTTTCGAGGAATTTCATCCAATGTCAGTAACCCTGGACAAGGACAAATCAAATAAACAAGAGTATAGCCTAGTTTTGATTGACCTTAATTAGGATTACTGTATAATCAGTGAAAAATGGTGAATCTAATGATAGATTGGATTTCATATTTATTTTTAGTGTCTTAAACAGTGTGTGGTGTAATATGCTCATATTTTCAGTAGCTGGGTCTCTTAAAGCTGTATAGTTTTATTTTAATTGTTTTAGCATAATTTAGCAGATATGTTTTAGACAAAAGTACTATTGCCAGTACATATAAACCATGGTGAGTGCCTTATGCACAGTCTTCCAAAGAATAAAAATTAGTAGATGATTATATCAGTACTTTAATATTTCAGCATTTTTGTACTTTTAATTACATTATTTATGTATTGAATAAGGTGATAATTCGAAAACATATTTATAATACATTTTCAATATTTTTTGATATGATTCATGTTTCTGTAATTTAGTGTTTGTTGGAAAGAGTGAAACATCAAAGGTTGTGTAATAAATGCTGTTCTTGTTTTGAATTAGAAGTTTTAGAAAGCTAAAGTATTTTTCTTTGTTTGTCTTTCTAGGACTTTCAAAACCAGCTGTATGACCACTTTTATCTCAATTTTATCTCACCAATATCCAGACACAAACTAGAAGACCTTGCTAGTGCTGCTTTACAAGCCAGCTGTGTTTCATCTGTAGAGAAAGTGAGTAATCATATCAGGTGGAAGAAAAAACATTTTTTAATTACTAAATCTTTATTATGTTCTAGTAGTTGGTGTGACAAACTGTGAATCTGAGGATCCATGGTTCACATCACATTGCCATAAAATCTCACTCCACACTTTTTGGCCATGAATACACTATAACAGTGAAATTTAATTCCCACTATTCAATTAGCACAGTTTAAGGTTGTCAGTGGGTGCTGTTGACCAGTTACTTTACCTTTAGTCAAGTAGGGATTGCTAATGCAGACAGCCTTTGTGTTCTTGTGCATATAACTACAAAAAACACAACACTAAATCCATGCTGATAAAGTCCAAAGATATATAGTTTTGTGAGCAGGTTCTGTACAATGTGTCAAATGCTTTATTTAATCAATAACTTAAGTTTTTCTCAAGAAATTGTTCATTGGGCATCTGATCTGTCACAGTCCACCTCATAAGAGGTCAACAGTCATATATAAGGATATTGTCTTTGTAACCTTTGAAATTATGAAGACCAAAATTTATAACTTATTATATCAATATTCCCTTGATGTAACTACAGTAACTTAAGTCCATTTACTGAAAAAAAACTTTTTTTCTTGAGCTTGTACCAGGTAATGATTTGGTACACATGTCATGTGTTACAAAGATCCTTTTGAAAGGGATATGTATTGATGATATTAGTCTGGCTATAGATTTGATATGTAAATCTGGAGAATAATATTGATGTACAGAAGCACATTATTGTAATAAAACAGTCGATTCACCAACAACAATTTATAAGCACAATGAGTTTTTTATATATGTAGAGAACATACTACATGTTTCAACAGAACATTGGAATAAGAAAGACCTATGTTTTATTGAAACATGTAGTAAGTTCTGTACATAAAAGAAAATAAAATTTATTATGCTTATCAATTGTTGTTGGTTAATTTACTATCAATAATATTGTATAATATGTATGAATATATAAGTAAGAAATCTAAACATACATGTATATAAATATATACATATTTATGAAACTTTTATTTGATACTTAAAATTTATTAGACTTCATAAATACACAAAGGTTAGTCAAGGAAATGGAAGCACCTCTTGTGTCAGTGTGCTCCTGAATTCCAATTCTATTGAATATACAAGTCACATGCTACATTTTTCCCATGTGTTTAGAATATGTATATATAAGAACTAGCTCTCATAAGCTTCATTTTGAGACAATAACTCACCTTCATACCCAGTTTAACTCTTTCAGGCGGGCTCATTCCTAGGACCAATCTCATAACCATTTTGTGCTTGTTATAGTTTTCATGCTATAACTTTAAAGTTAGTAGGTGAATGTTAATGAAATTTAGCAGATTATCAGTAAACATTACAATGCTTTCATATGCAACATATCAATTTTTGTTATTAAGTCTTAAGGTTTGTGAAGCAATGTTTTTCTCATGTATTTTTTTCTTTTCATATGTTGCCTATCTATCATGCAAAGTAATATTCATTGTAAGATTAAAAATAGTTTTATGCATCAGAAAATTTTCAAATTT